CACCAAGAACTGCAGTGTAATAACTCGCATACGGAATGGGTACCAAGACACCTTGATCATGAGAAACAACGAATGGACCTCAATCTTCAGCATTTGATACGTTATGAAGAGGATCCTGCATTTGTAGAACGTATAGTTGACGAGTTGGGTGACAAGTCCCAGTGTCACCACTATACACCCGAATCCAAGAAAACCAGCATGCAATAGAGACACACATCATGTCCTCCACCAAGGAAATCAAAAGCGCCGACGACGACTGCACAAGAAATGATGCTTTCATTTTTGTTTCAATGATTTCGTGCCACAAGGGAGCACCATCAATCCATCACAAACTGCAGTACTCTGAGGAAACTACTGAAAGCAATCAAAAGCAAACGGCCAGGTTTTCTTTTATAGCAAGTTGTCCTTCTCCATGGCAATGCCCGCCCACATGTCTCCTGTGAAATCCAGATGAACTTAAGCAAATTCCGTAGGGATGTGCTGAAATACCCGCCGTATATTCCGAATTTGTCACTCTGTGACTTACACATCTTTGGGCCACTTAAGCGAGAATTACGGGTGAGACGTTTCCTTTCGGACGATGAAGTCAAGAAAGCTGTGCAGGACTTCCTCAAGAATCAACCATTTTTCTACCGCAAGGGGGAAGACCTAGGCCTACCAGCGGCCAAGCGATAAAGTCCCTGAACATTATTAGTTTGGTCCCAGGTTCGAATCCCGCAAACGAAAATACCCATGCAGCCCGGGCTGGCTACATGGGTGTTTTTGTGGTTTTCGCATTAAAAGTTTACAATTGGGTGCCCCTTGTTTTTTGGCGATTCTTTTTTGACTCCAAGATCGGCGCCAGGAAGGGACAATTTCAAGATGGCCGCTACACAAAACCAAATAATAAGTCAAAGAATTGCACAAACTCTGTGTCCATGTACACATCGATCTGTTTTCACATAAAAAATATCCTAGAATTGCACAAAGTAGGCATTGCGCACTGCTTTAAATTTGTCTGTGTACACATCAATCTATTTTCATTTAAATAAAATAAGGAAGTTAAAACAAAATTAAAACTTTCATGGTAACCAGAAGTGCGCTTTCATCGCCAAAATTTAAAAAAAAAAATGTCGCTAATCGAAGGGCCACTCAATTCTACACTAGAACCGTTTTCGATAAGTGTAACGTGTTAATACGAGCCAGTTCCTCTTAGGAAGTCCTCCACGAAGGTCTTCCTCCCTTCCCTGTAGTGCCTTAATGCGGAACACGTAAATAATAATAATAATAAAAAGGCACAAACCTCTGCTGAAATGATGGGAAATGCGCTACAACGCCTATGGCTATTTGAAATAAAAGTATTCTTCTCATTCGGCTTGACCACTTTTCAACTAGGCAACCCTCATATATTAAAAATTAGGTAACTCATTTGTTTCCCAATCTCACCCCTTAAGTTTTTTTTTTTTTTCTATAAATAAAAATGTGACTAATTGCCTTCTTGTAATCCATTGCAAAGGAATTAATACTGTCCGATATTTTTTACGATAAATTTCGAATGTTCATTTAAGCGAAAACCGGAAGAATTTATTCGAGAAATGAAGTAATCAAATGAAATATTTCAGGACCGAAAGAAATTAATTTAACAGCAATTAAGCAAATTTTGATTAATAAAATTTTGAACCTCCAAATGCAATATGCTTCCTTCCCTACTTCTTCCCTTTAAATTGAATTTCTTTTTAATTCCCTCATTTCTGGATAAAATGAGGCTCTCTATATATATGAAGGGCATTTTCTATACTCTGCGCAAATATTTACTTATTTTCCGCTTCGAATCTCCCTGATTAAATTTAATTTTGTAATTGAATGCTTGATGAAAATCTTCTTTCTTTGCTCTAAGGATTAGGAGTGAATAGTTCATCACGTTGTGGTTAGAAAATTAAATCTGGTAAACAAAATAAAATGTTATTCCCCGGTAAATTATAACATTAAGGGTAACAACAAAGAAACCGTATAAATCAGTCTTAATGAAAAATAGAAGACCTCATAAAGAATTCATGAAACGCAATAGAAACTTAAAATGCAAACAAAGGATTCACATGAAACATTTTTAACCAAGACCGTTTAGCCCAATTTAGATTCTACTCGTCTCCCAGCTGAAAGAAAACGAGGTATCGTTTCGTCGCTTTATTATGAGACATATCTAATATCGGCTGCCGATTATTACCCCCCAAATTCCTCCTCACACTCTCCTACCCCTTGGCGACCAAAATTTGTTACAATTTTGGAAATAATTTACATAAAAATGACTTAAGAAGCTCCGTTACACTTTACTCTAATTTATTTCTTTCACACAGATGATGCAAATGAGCGAAATATGCGACAGACGCCTGGTGTAACGCGTTGCATAATGCATTTTATTCAAACATTCTTTTTAACTGGTGGTTGGAATTTGACAATAATAATGACTTTAGCCGGGCATATGTGTCTAATGCTCTTACGGCTACTCTGGCCGCCTGGGACATTTAATGTAATATCGAATAACAGGGAAGCACCTAGGGATGGAAAAGGGATGTGTTAAGCTTCTCCAGTCAGAACTGAAGTGTGGTGGAGCGGAGGGGGGAATCGTTGAAGTGTATATTGATTTTTAAAAGCTCCATATTTAATCATTCGCTAGCGACATTGCATTGTTGGGAATTGTTGTCAGTGCGTAAGCGTAATTAGATGCATTCTAGAATGAAATCGATTTAACGTGGAAATTGTATTTCCTGGTTATTAATTGTTTCAAAAGAGCCGCATGATTTATTTCTGTTGGCAATTAAGGGTTTAGGAAATCGATGTACGAGAAATTATATATAAATAAAAATTTGTTTATTTATCCATATATATTGTTAAGAATTGTTTACATAGATAGATAGATGATTTTAGCTCAAACATTTGTGAAACTTTTGTCTTTTTCTGTGTAGTGTAACGTAAAACATATTTAAAAGAGACAAGCTGTGCTGGAAAAGTAAGAATACAGGGGCAAGTACATTCGTTTAACATTGAGTAAACGGGTATCTCCGTAACTTGGCGAGATATCGCCAAGCTGACAACGGTTTGGCAACTTATTTCGTCGCCAAGTTTGGCAATAAATTGTAAAAGTCGCCAAACTTGGCTACCGTTTGGCGACATTTTGGTCGTGTACCTGTATCATCGTCATCCCCCCCCGGGGATTGACACAGGCGAACGCCTGGGAAGTACTGGTTAGGATCTGTACCTAGGCAGTCTCAACCACGAGGGTATATAATTTGACTTCGCAAGACTAGAACCCGAGTATTGTACTCAGGTTGGTTCAGGCTTGGCAGGGACCATACTGGTACCGTCGTGTATGTTCCTTCCGCTGGGGTGGAGCTAGATCGGAGATCGTCGACCGAATCCCTGGGACTTTGACCCTATTCAGTTCTCTTGGCGTGGACTGACAGAGTGGACAGAGCACCCACAACAATGTTCGTTTTGCCAATTGAGTGGTGCCCGGAGGCAAGGTGACAAAGTTTTAACATAGCGACGATTCGTTCTGTCCTATTCTTTGTAAAAGCCGGGTGGGGACTACGAGGGTTGCGTCCGCGAGGATGAGGGCCCTTGGACCATAGATATCTAAATTCGGAATGGGTTCGCTAGAACATGGATCTGGAATCTATCGTCTGGTGTGTCTGTATCATCGTCATAGGTATTGTAAATGAACAAATATAATTGATCACTGTATTAGCTGTAACCGTAATTCGGTCCTTATGCTCCTTTCCAGTAACTTCGAGAAGCAGAACGTAATAGAAATATCTCAGTGGTCAGTTGAAAAACTATGAGTCTGGTGAGATAATTGCGTTGTGTTTAACGTTCTTAGTAGTTTGAAGCGTAACTGCTGGTTGTACTCTGTGATACTGTGAACATCTGTACGATGATTTCTGTGGAAAATTGTAGAATTTCGAAGTGTTTCTTTTGATACAAATAAGTTTTATTAACCTATCATCGGTTCTGTACGCGTTCAATCTATTACGAATCCGTAAGCAAGCAACAATATATATATATATATATATATATTATGTGGAAATGACTTGACAACGTCGTTACTATGCAAAACAGTAGTTTTTATTTTATTACCAATTTTCTCTATTTACTCCTACGGTCTTTCTAATAATTTATAAATCTCCCACGAAATCTTCAATTTTTTTTTTTTTATTTATCGTGTAAAGAAAGCATATAGTGTTCGGTAACTGAATAATGTTTTCGATATTTTAAGAGCTTTTTATGCATCAAATAATTTTTATGTTTTCTAGCTTTCGAAAGGGAGCAGTGGCAACACTGTGCAGAATAAAACATTTTTATCTCCAGCTCGCGAGACTGTCTTTGGGAAATTCGACTGGCATGCTATTTTGCTGTTTTTTAAACATTTTTTTTCCATTGAAATGAATATTTTATGGCATAAGTCAGAAGAACGTGATATTTAATAAATTGTGTTATGTTTCTGGACCAAAACAAATTAAGATAAAATTTTGTAAAGCCATCTTAGTACGAAAACTGAATATTGATATGATGAACTGAGAATAGACTGAAAAAAAAAAACAGAAAAGGTATGTCAACACTTAATACAGCATCATACAGTATCAGGAATTCTAAATATATGCTGGTATACTGCTTTTAAAATTTTTGCGATGTTGCTTTTGAATTCTATATGGCGTAAGTGTAATGAAAGCAATGTTTGATATTAAAGCTAAAATGACACACCCACACACACACAAAATGAGAGCAGTAGTTAGTGCAACAGCAGACTGGTGAACTGCGATCCCAGTGAGAGCGTAAAAAACCTTAACACAACCTTCTGATAACCGTTAAAAATCTGACATCATTCAGTTATTTTTTTTTGATTGATTTTTTTTTTCTTAAATTTATTTAACGGCAGTTAACAAAATTTGTAAACTGAAGTTAACACGCAGAAGCTATTTTGTATTATGCATTTCTAGAACTCATGTTTGCATTGAAAATTTCAGACGAACCTCCTGTCTTGGAAGAACTCTTTTCCGAAAAGACGGTATATCCTGGTGTTTCCGTTTCCTTAAAATGCATGGCTACAGGAAGCCCTTTACCACAGGTGACTTGGAAATTAGATTCACTGCCGTTACCCGAACAACTTAGATTTCGCGTTGGAGATTACGTCACTCGGGACAGTAGAGTAGTCAGTTATGTCAATATAACAGGTACGTTTATTCCATTATGTCGGCTAATTAACTAGTTATAATAATAATTTAATAATATTAATTGGTATTTCAAATTTATTTTTACTTTGGTTCATTTATCAAAAATTATAGTGCATAATTATTTTCTGAAATTGATTTGACTGTGAAAGCTTGATGATCAAAGATTTAATTCAAGTAAAGCATGTATGAATGTGTTTATGGATTCTTTTATTGCTTTTTGTTTAGTTGTCCTATTAAACTGTTTTGTAATTAATATACAGCAAAACCCAGTTGATTCGGATATAAAGCTAGCATTATATCCGAATCAACTGGGACCGGACCCCATTCGGATAACTGGATGTTTTTTAAAGAAACGTTCTACGTACAAAAACGATTACTGTATGTTGAACATGGGAGAAGAAAGCTATTTTTAAAGAAAAAGAAGTTTTGATGTTTCTTAATTCCTCAAGTGACACGTCATCCTCATCTTTTCTTCTCTCTTTTTCTTAAATTCTGAAAGTTATTCGGATAATCAGCGATTCGGATAGTCGGAGTTCGGATAACCGGAGTTGTACTGTACTGTAATCTCAGTTACTTGCAACTGCACATTTTCTATCTGTTAATATTCTGGTTTTCCTGGCTAAAGCACTCTTTTCTTTTGTTAAGGCATACAGGTTGAAGATGGAGGACTTTTTTCGTGTACCGCGACGAACGAAGTAGGATCCGTACAACATTCGGCAAGGGTAAATGTATTTGGTCCACCTATAATAAGATCCATGCCTAATATTACTGCTTTAGCTGGTGAGATAACTATTTTGCCTTGCCCTGCTGGTGGATACCCTCTATCCAGTATCACTTGGTCAAGAGGTATGTATTAAATTAATTTTATTATTTCAAAAAATAAGTATTTGCTTTTAGATTAAGTAAACCAATTCTCAAAAAGAATTTATATCAATTAAAGTAAAATAAGTAGAGCATTTCAGAAGAATTCATTGTGGAATAATTTTTATGCAAGTATTTAAAAAAACTATTTCTCTCAGATTTAAATTTATTCACATAAAATTATAATCTCTATTAGGTTTACTTCGATAGCATTGTTCCGAAAAAATTTAATTGGTCTGCTTTCTGATGTCTTTTAACTGATCTTTAAAAATTTGAAAATTCATTACTTTAATAAACATTTTATTTTTACAAAGCAGCTGGGAGGTTTTTAGCTGGCAAAGAAAATAAAGCTAGCATTATATTAGAAAGAGACTTAAAATTTTAAAAAAATGAGAAACAAATCTCTTTTAAATAACAGATTTAAAATTGATTACTATATTCACCGTTTGTTTAGTAAAAATGGAAAAGTAAAATTGTCAGAAATTGCCAATTATTGCCATTTTTAAAAAATTTTTTTTTTTTTTTTTTTTTTTTTAATTTTGAAAAGCATTAAATAATATCAAAATACAGATTTTTAAAAATGTTTTCTTATTCCTCGAGACTTTACTTTTGGAATAACTATATTTCGATAGTAGTAAGTTTAGTAATTATAAAAAAAATGCCGAAGAACAACAAAATTTGCCATTTTTTAAAACTCCGAGTGCGATGCACGAACAGAAAATCAATTTTTATATGAAAACATTTCTTTCCCCCATTTTGCATAGTTATGCAATTTTTGCTTAGTTAGATAATTTTTCCGCCTAGGCGACAGAAAAATATAAATGTGAAGTGTCTTTTCGTTCCATCCTAATGTGCATATTGTTGCCAACTAGCATCAAATTTCGAAATGTAAGCTTTTAAATAATTGCCATTTAATCAAAATACTGTCTATAAATATTGATTAGCTTTAACAATATCTGCAGTTTAATTAAGGTAATAACTATGAAGGAAATTCTATAAAAAATGCAATATAAGTGCATTTAAACAAAAAAAAAATACTTTTTTTATAAAATGTTTTAATGAACTTACGTATATGCATGATCTATTAATGTAGTTGTTATTTTAGCCAAGATAAATATATAAATAATAGAGTGTAATATATTTATTGACATAGAATAAATTCTAGAAAATATCTTAAAATGTGATGCATTAATAATTCCAAAATATATACCTTGAGTTATAAAAAATTAACAAGCAGTAATAACATCCCTGGGTATTTATTCATGAACGTTTATCTTGCTACCTTACAGAGTTCAATATCAGCAGCATCTTAAATAATTTATAAAAGTTTAAAATCTCATCTTCTGTGAAACTTAATTATCACTTATGATATTAATATTAGATTCAATAAGATAAAATATATCTTAGCTTTAAAGTCTGGAACATGTAAATTTTTAAAAGCAACTTTTGACTGATAATTTAGGTTTCAATTAATCGAACTAAATTATTTTAGTACGCAGATGAAAACATTAGTCAAATACAGACATGCTGCTTAGGTTGTTTCATTTATTACTATTATTTAGTATGGATTTTATCTTTCAGAAATGAACTTAGAGGGTTTAAAAGTTTTAAAAATTACTTTATGGAAAACGTTTTGCTACGGAACTGCTAATCGCAAACGAAAACTATAATGATTATAAAATTAGTAATGAGATAACCCCGAGTTTGGGGTAAATTTACGTCAATATCTTAATGATTTCGAATGCCCTCAGATACGGTTTCCTTTTCGTCAGGAGCAAATAAATCTGCAAGATTGGAAAGCAATGGGCTCAACGGTTGCGTTTATGCTCCACAGTAATCAGTACACTTTACTACAGTCCTCTCAGCTAATCACTGATTGATTCCCAGTAAAGCAACACGTTTTAACTGCGCATAGATGATTTGCCTTCCCGTTCACGGCATTTTCACTTACACTGGCCTGAGTCACCTCTACACTATCTTCCTATATAGTCTGTATGTTATGTATCTTCTATACGGGGTTATTTGGTGCCTGTAATGCAGGATATAATTCCTGCTAAAATAGGCATATCAAAGTATCAAACTTAAAGGTATCAAACTTCTTTCCAATATTACTTATTTACTTACCATCAGCTGAGTTCCTGTATCGCCAGTTATATGACTATCAGCATTTCTACTCTATTGGTGGAGCATTCATTTATAGCTAAGCCTAGCCAAAAATCTCCCTTTGCGGCGCGCTATACGTTAACGTCGGAATTTCAATAAAAAAAGTTGTATGCAGTCTATTTAGTCCTAAAGGAGTATACAGGTAAAATTTTGTAAAAATTGTACTTACCGTTTTAATTCTGTGGGTGTTCCATGAGGTGGAACACTGCGCCGCCAGAGCTTTTAAAAGTGCAACTAAGCGAGCATTGCAGTGAAGCACGAAAATGAGTAGAAGCGTTTGTATAAGAATGAAAAAACTCTGTATTATGGCTGTATACATCGTTTCCTGGATATACACAATATTCTTGAATATATACGAATAAATGAGATAAATGTCTATATACACAAGTCCTATATACAAAAATATTAAAAAATTTTCGGAAAGAGTTAGACCTCTCCGAGCCATTTATGGAAAATTAATAATAAAAAAATTAACTACGATTAATATTAACAATAAAGAAAAACAAGCCTATAATATATACATACACGAAAAATATCTACACAATTATTGAAAATAAATGGGAATGAGACTAAAATGCGACAGCAAAAAATTCGCGCAGGTCTAAGTATAGACGTGTCAAGCTACTAATCAAATTCCCGCCTAAACACTACTCCCAAAAACTTCGAGATGCCAATATTAGGGCTTTCATAACACAAAACACACCTCACCCCTCAATACTGCTTTGTTTGATTTTATTGCACCCCTCCCCCCAAAGCAACGGAAACAGGAAAACGTAAACAACGGATGTTCTCTCCTAAGCACAGATGTTCTGATTCGTAACACCATGAGATCGCTAAAGACGCAGTGTTCCCGCTAATGGAACACCCAGGTTTATTCAATGATTCTGCGTATGGTTTTTGTCTGAAATATTAAAAAAAATATAGAACAGATAATTTGGAGTACAGCCAGCAAAATTGTGCCTATTTTTTTTTCCAAATAAAATTTTTTATATCATTAAAAAAATAGAGAAAATTACCTGAAAAAGTGGATTTTAATAACACATAATAAATGAAAATTCTGTGTCTCTTTGTGATATGCTGTTATCTACTGTTTAAAAAGAAAAGTTCAAAGTATATTATAAAGGCATTTTTATCTATTTACAGTTGAATTTAAAGGTTTCAGAAGCGATTCAATTTGGTGTTCCATGTAGTGGAACACTGAGCCGCAAAGGGTTATATGACTATCAGCATTTCTACTCAATTGGTGGAGCATTCATTTATAGCTAAGCCTAGCCAAAAATCTCTACAGAATATTTAATTTTTATTAAAAATTAAATAAATTTGTAGCTGAATTTATAAAGTTACTTCGGAAGATAGGTATTTGTATGTATTACTAAAGAAACTCTAGTAGTACAGTCACTCCAGTAGACTCTAGTCCCAAGTAGCACATGATGTAGCAAAAACGGTACTATGACCACTTTGCAACCTTTTGGACCAGTTTGCAACGTCTTTGCTACGTCATGTGCTACTTGGGGTCAAGACTGGCTGCTCTGAATGATTTGTTTTTAGATTGCTTTTGTATTTTCGCAATTCATTGCCAGGTAGTCTATGAGAGTTTTTAGTTTGTTTCGTAGTAGCTTACACTTTTGGAGTTGTTACAGCCATACCTGGGCATTTCAGCTGTGTACGGCCGGAAATGTAGGTGTTTGGTAATTTCACACTCGAACAAATAGTGGCTTTCCAATCTGTCGTTTGAGGATCTGCAATCCCTTTTGAGGAACATAACTGAGGTAAAATATACAAGGGTTCCCTAACTGAGATTATCTGAGTGATAAAGTTCGCGCTGAGACCAGCATAACAATAATCAAAGTATCATATCAAAGTATCAATCAATCAGCATAGCAAAGTAACAGCTTTCCAGAGCCTTCCGAATACAATCCCGGAGAATTATCTCTTTAAAACCCTGATGATTTGTAAGTTTTCCTGTACGGAAAGTTAGACAATTAACTCAAAAAAACTGGATCTGGCGTTGTTAAGGTACCTGTCGTTTTTCTAGAACAGGATAACTCTAAGTAAGGCAATGCAATATTTTCAGCTTCCAAGTTATGATCAAGCTTTACGAGCGTTAAGTTAACAGCCCGATCCAGAGCAATAAATACCAGAGGTTCGGGTATACACAACACCGCTGTTTTAAAGAGGAACGGTGCTCAGAATGCTGAGGATATCCCAGGACATCTGCTTGTACACTTAAAGAAGGACAGAACCCTAAATGTATTTTCTGTGCTCAAAATGATGCGAGGTTCTATCGTTAATGTCAGGAATACCTGAAAAGGCTTGCTGAACACAAAAGAAAACGGAGAAAGAGAAACATGTTTCTAGCAAATATGAATTTAACTTCCCTGTTTTATCTAAAGAGAACCCTACGCTAAGCTCCATAACTAACAATTCCAGTTATAGTGAGATATTAAAGAAAAATATGCTGGACGCTAAAAGAAGCAACCCTATTTTTGATGTTTTTACCACCCAAAATAATCTTAACTTTTTTCAAAGTGTCCTGGGAATTGTTCGAAACTGAAAATTGCTAATTCTCAGACTGAAATTTTTTCGAGCTTAAAGCTGAATACTGATTCGCTGTGATGTGTGTTTCAGGAGTTATGGTAATAGACTTGTGCTCCCTTTTCTCCCAACCACCTGTAGCTGATTCGATTTAGTCGAGAGTTCGCATTCCTATTCTTAACTACATAAGTTCGGGTCCCCCACAGCTCACAACTCCTCCACCTGCTACATGTTATGAAAGATGTACCATGGTCAAGGATTCTTTAAACTCTTGATTTTTCAGAATATAAGGTATTTCTCCCACTCCCTAGCGCGCCTTCGGGGTGTAGTGGTTCTGCACACTGAGCCGGTATTTTAGAGGTTCGTGGTTCAATTCCCGGCGAAGGCAATGTTAATTTTTTATCTCTCCGGCCTCCAACAAAATCCTAATGTCTGTACAAGTGGCGCCCGAACTAAAAGGGTTGTGGATGATGATTCTTCGCACCCAGGATTTGGCGACTAGGTCCCCTAAAACCCTAGTCGCCCTTTAGAAAGGGGAGTATATAATGTATTTCTCCCACTTCCCTAGTTGCCTTCGTAGTGGTTCTGCACACTGAGCCGGTATTTCAGAGGTCCGTGGTTCGATTCCCGGCGAAGGCGGTAGCATTTTTTTCATATTTTCTGCTTCCAATTAACGTAATGACTCTACAAGAATTACTCATCTGCCCTATTCTGAGATTTGTCTCATTATTTCTTAGTCATGTTGGCTTTCCTCTCTTTTCTGTTTTCTCCTAATGCTGCTCATTTCAGCTCTTCTGATGTGGAGGAAAGCGGAAAAATGTCTAAGTACTCCGAAAGTAACCGTACTTAATTGCTTTTCAGACTTTTAGACTTCTTTGCTTCTGACGAATAGTGATCTGTCCCTGTTTGCTCTCGAAATCGATTGAGAGCTTCACATAAATTTAGATAACTTATGTTATGCCAAGCTCAAAGTTGTTACAATACTAATTTTATGTTTCATTTGGCATGTTTCTCATCTGTTTTCAAATTGATTATGTTAAATACGTTTGATTGCCAGCTAATATCAAATACAACAAGTTTAGTATATTAATAATAGTTAATAACTTTGAGCCGTATATAAGTATTTCTGTATTAACATAAGCCAAAGGTAACCATAATCTTTTCAACCTGTTCCAGCCATCGTGTCTATATTTTGCCTTCATATTCGAATTTTTACTGCATTGCAGATATAATATTTCTGTAGATTAATTACGTTTATTATATCTGAGTAAACAAGAATAAAATATACCGAAATCTCGTGTCTGTTTCGAACGTTACTTTTATTTACAACTTTCCAGTTATCATCTCTCTTAAACATTAAATTTGTTTAAAAAAAACTACTGCGATGCTTACATTTTTCAAGTGCAAGGCACTTTCATAATGAATGTATTTTAATCAGATTCTAGGCTTCTCCCACAGAATCACAGACAACAAGTGTTTCCCAATGGAACGCTTATTATAAAAGAAGTTAATAAGAAAGCCGACGAAGGGAAATACGCTTGTGCAGCTGAAAATAAAGAAGGTGACAGAGCACAAAAAGATGTATTTGTACAAGTTATGGGTAAGTTGTTAAAAACCTCTCTTCCACTTTGTAAAATAGGATTAGTATATTTTCTGACATTTTACCAGACTAAAAGCATTGGTACCAAATAATTATAACCCATAAAGTTGTTGCGAATATCTCACATTTCATTCAAATTAAAATTCACCACAGTAAGCGAAAATAATTTTTTTGCTTGTGCACGGATTCGTAACAGATTAAACGCACAAGTCTGATAATAGGTTAATAATATTCGTTTTTATCAAATGAAATATTTCATAATTCTGGAATTTTCCACAGAAATATACGTACAAGTGCTCACAGTATCACACAGTACAAGGAGTAATTTAGTTTAGTTACGGAGGACGCGAGCACCACCCCTCTACCATGGCGGTTAATCGGCACAGCACCGCGTCCCCCCTTATCTAGAGCACCCCCCCGAGATGGTATAGGAAGGAGTGGGGGGGCAAACGAACCCCCACACCAGTAGCCGAGCCCCATCCTATTTATTGAATATCATGTAAAAAACAAATTGCCAAACAAGGGCTATGCAGATAAGTACTTTGCCATACTTAGTGTTTTAGGTTTGGTTTATTTAATTATGGCCAAGCACACTAGGGCTATCTGCCTTTGTGGAGGACTTTCTAAGGGAAACTGGCTCGTATCCACGTTACACATGGGGAAAACCACGAAAACGCCCATGCTGCCTTAGTGTTTTAAGTGACATACATATGCAACATAATACTGCATGAGACATTCAGTGAAAGATGATATATGATACTGTGTGATATATTACTACATGGTACTCAATGGTACTACATGACATTGGTTACTAATGATTTGGTCTATGGCATATGATACTACATGATTAAATAATGCTTAACTGTATAAACACTACATTTAAACTGTTGGTTACTACATGATATATGAAAACTGTAGATATATAAGCAGTAGTTACACATCCAACTACTAGGATTGTTAAATCCAAAGGAATGCCAAGAGCTTCTTAAGAGAAAGCTAATTAGGATATCTCAATTGGCGCGGAACTAAACAACAACTCGCGATAACAATAACTAAGCAATTGAGAGCAGATGCTGTCTCTTCGGGCTTAAATAGTTTTCAACCGGCAGCGAGATATTTCACGTAATTTCTGTAAATTACTGGAAAGCAATAAGAGGGTAGAATTACGGTTACAGCTAACAGAGTGGTCAATTTCATTCATTCAGTTACAATACTTATTACGGTGATGCAGGGACCGGACCAAAATGTCGCTAAATGATCGTCAAATTTAGTGACAAAAAAGTCGCCAAAAGGATTGTCAGCTTGGCGATATTTCGCCAAATTACCGAGATACCCATTTACTCATTGTTAAATGCACTTACCCCTGTATTCTTACTTTTCTGGCATAGCTTTCTCTTAAAATTTGTCTCGTGCTACATTGTACAGAAAAAATATAACAATTTTACTTGTGATTCTACTAAAATTACTTATCTAAGTAGAAAATTCATAACACCGTGATAAATGTTTAAGTAAAAAGGATATAAAATTCCTAGTTAGAAAATGAATTTTCCTCACGAAAAAAGAAGAGGTAAAAAAACTGCTATAGGATAATTCTGAAAATGCCATATGCTGTTATAATAACTTGTGATTATCCAAATTTGTCAATATTCACATAGTCTATAAAACATATTTCAAATGACCCAGTGTTGCGGTAGTAAAGAATGTGAATAAGAAATTCGGTTGGGGGTTTGATCGCGTTATGTGATAACGGTATTATCCGCAGGAAAAGAGAAATATAACCTTAGAAAGTCAGATTTCTAGAAAGTGAAGAAGCATACATAATTATAACAACTAGATATGCATTATTGTTTCAAACTGATACCTGTATCGAACACTTTCAATTCTTATCGATGTTCCTACATCACTGCTACTGCGAATCCTTTTAGAAGACTTTATTTTCTGCGAAGCAGACGTTTTCTGCAACTTGCCACAGGTACAGATAGAAGAGAAAACCAGAATTGAACGATTGATCGTACATAACCGTGCATTTCTTCCAATAATTTTGAGGAAGTATACACTGTCAGGACTTGTGTTTCTCTTGATTTGCTTTGGAAACATGATGTGTCCTGAATAGGAACAGGGAGCTTACTCAAGCTATGAGGCGTTAGCAAGACAATTTGCATAAACGATTTAAAGCATTTAATTCGGGCCAGAAGTAGAAAACAAGAAGTGATAGTACAGTTTTAAAATAAAATAAACGTTAGTAAAACTTAGGATCCTTACAACACCTTGGGCGATCCGAGGGTCCTTTACCATTAACTTCTAGAGAGAACTTTCAGTTTCCCGTGTATTTTGAGTTTACCTTTGCCGCACAGACACTGTATGCTTGCAAACATTCATTCCTTCTCCGCATAGTTTCGCTCCGTCCTACGATAATTTTGGGTGATGATCAATTATAATCCAGATCTAGGCAATCAGTTATTGCTCAGATCATCAGCGCTGATTGCAAATGCAATCGTCCATGTTGCAAACGTAACTTGCTGCATTTAATATCAACTTGACAAATTACATAAGCTCGAGCACATGGCTTTTATATGAAATTTCAAATTTTATGTATTACTAGCGTGCTACGGCAAAAGCAATATTTATAAGGTCTATATAATTCAAAATTAAAAATAAAATGTACTATTAATTTACTGTACTGTATACAAAGTTACCAGCTGCGATCCAAAGCAAAATTTATAAGTTCTATGTACACCTGAAAAAAGAGTGCGTAGAAATATTTCAATACGAATGAAGTCAGTTCGTTCATTCCAAGCAAAAACCAATTCGTAAATTAAATTTTTTATTGCCAAACTAGGAAACAAAAACTTTGGGTATTTCGGGTTAATATGTATATATACGACGGCAAGATCTAAATTTAATGTAATATAACAACGTTTTCTCAATATTAATAAAAGAATTAATGTGGTAATAACATTCCACGTGAGTTATCCTAATCTGAAACAAAAAAAAAAGGTTTAACAACAGCAATTAAAATGCTGACATGAACGAAGATTTTCCGACATGCAATAACATCACATGCAATCGCGTGCTTTCTTCAGTGTCAGAAAATGATCTTACATAATAATAATATATATTTAGTGTTTGGCAATGCTACTTTTATTTCATATTTTGTAAAACATAAAATTTTTTTATTAACAAACTCTACAATTTGAAAGCGAGCAGAGGCAACACTTCTCGAAATAACACAGATTTTTATCTCCAGCATACGAGACTTTTCTCACTCGGAAAAATGAACGCGAAAATTACCTTTTTTGGAGGTTTTAATTAATATCTCGGCTGATTGGTCGAAATGTCTTCCCACGAATTTTTGGAATCGACGAGTACCTGTTTCGAAACTCAACTCCCGCCATTCCGAAGGAGACAATGCCACCAACAAGCAAACGACCACAAATTTTAGCAATATCGATTCACGATTTCTCTCTAAAATATACTATAATAAACTGCATTTGTCTAAAATGCATAGCCATATTTCTTACTCATTATGTCTTTATTTTATTTGTATATAATGTCATCACCCAAGATGACAGATTAAAATCTCCATCACTATCCTTTTAAAACAATTGCACACTTTATGTAGCAGATGCCTCGGGATCATCTTTCTGAAAATAATTTATGGATAATACATAAGAAATAAAAGAAAATCTGAAAGATTTCAAATTTTAATTACGTCCAAAGGGGCTTTTTTTACATATCGTGTGTTACCTTTATTTATTAAATATCATGTTCTTTGCACTTAAGGCCCACCAGCGGCCGAGCAGTAAAGTCGCTGAACACTGGTAGTTCGGTCCGAGGTTCGAATCCCGCGAACGGGCTGGCTGCATGTGTGTTTACGTGGTTTTCCTTATGTGTAACGTGTATACGAGCCAGTTTCCCTTAGAAAGTCCTCCACGAAGGCATCCCTCCTCTTAGGCAGATAGCCCTCGAGGCTTTCTCGTAATTAAATAACCTAACCTAACCTAAATCTTCGCACTTAAACCATAAAATTCCGTTCAACAGCAATATCGCAAAAAAATTTTAAATAGAGGTTATCTTTAGAATTTCCGATACAGAGTCTCGCGAGCTGCAGTTTTTTTTTTTTTTTTTTTTTTTTTTTTTTTTTTTTTTTTTTTTATAGTGTGGCCATTGCTCGCTTTGAAATCGTTGAGTTTGTTAATTAAAAATTCGTGAAAGTGTTACAAAATATAAAATCTTAATAAAACAAATTTCAGATTCAAATTAGGGCTTCCACATGCCCATATTCTATGGAAGATTACGTTATTCAAATTTTGATGGCTCTAGGTACCGTTGTTTTATCACAATGCGAGAAAAATACATACATTCATGCACATTCTTCATTCTTTAACTTTTTTAAATACAACACAGGGTGATAACATTTGATGGCAACAATTTGAAAAATGAGACCACGCTTATCGTGAATCGACGCAAAATGCCAAAACGAAATCAATAGAGTTTCTGGGAAAATTGCCCCTTTGGACTAAAAATTAGTACTAATTAGTATCCTCGTAATGTTATCAGTAAACCTTTTTAGTAACTAACTTTCGATAACAATTAGCATTAAGCGAATACCATAAGAAATAATTTCGAATAACGTAATTGTGATTGTTCCCCTCATCGCTAGAAAATCATTTACCTGCAGAGATCAGTTTAACAAAGTCCTGTGTATTAGCGAGGGACTTCAATGAAAATTATCTCGTTTATAGTCACGCCGGTCATTATGGAAACTACAATCTGGACGGCATTGTGAAATCTGTTGTTGATTATGTGAAGAATTTGACAGTTTCCTTCCAAGTTACCTCCATACTTCCAAGTTCCATAATCGCAACTGATGTTTACTCGGCTTGCTGACATTCGTCTAGTAATTTTGTAGATGGAGCCTTATTCGACGAAAACGTTTGCCTGCTGACAGCAGCTAAGATACTTAGCTACGAGCTTCGTAGTCTGCTGTAATTTCATGA